CTGACTCAGGGTCTGGGGTTTGGAAAACGGTTTCGGTTGTCCGAAGGCGGAGTTTCACATCTTGTGCGCGATGACAGCGCCTCTGCACATGCTGTTTCCTGTCCCTGGGCCTTGTCGTTGATTCTGCTAAACACCTCCACGGACCAGGTCACCTGGTCTGTCTCTTCTGATCAGACACGGCGGGCGTGTTCTCCCAGCTCCCCGCCCGCAGGTCCTGTTCCGGCCTCAGGTTTCGGTTGTCCGAAGGCGGAGTTTCACATCTTGTGCGCGATGACAGCGCCTCTGCACATGCTGTTTCCTGTCCCTGGGCCTTGTCGTTGATTCTGCTAAACACCTCCACGGACCAGGTCACCTGGTCTGTCTCTTCTGATCAGACACGGCGGGCGTGTTCTCCCAGCTCCCCGCCCGCAGGTCCTGTTCCGGCCTCAGCCCCGCGGGTGGGAAGGTGTGGAGGCCACAGGAGCGGGGATGGGGACCGGCCTGCCGCCGCCCGGTCGCGCTCAGTATTCAGATCATCCAGGTGACCTGTGAGGCGGCTTTGAGGCTTTGGAGGCCGAGTGCGGCTGGTGCTTTGCTCAGCGAGGTCACGGGCTGGGATGCTGACCCCCTCACCGAGCGGTTACCGCCCGCGGCCTTATGCAGAGGCAGGTGCAGGGGCCCTGGGGAATCTGTCGTGCTGGCCACACCCACAAGTGACTTGGCTCAGGACAATTTCTATTTCTCACACCGAGAAATGTTGGGGTCAGCATGCTCCTCTCAGAGGCCAGCCGTCCCTGAACCTTGCCGTCTGGGGTGTGGAGTAGCGGAGGGAGTGGGTCGGCCTTGAACACGGTGACTTCGGGGTAAGGCAGCTCCGCTTCCAGCGCCTGGACTCAGGCCCCTCCCCGGGGAGAGGCTCCAGCGCAGAGGCCCTGCGCCCCCGCCTCTGCGCTCTCTGTCCAGAGGAGGGTGGCACCAGCCCCCACACAGAGCTGCGCCTCACTGCTCCACAGCCTGCAGGGTGGCAGCTCTTTCTCTTTTAAGAGTGGAAACACACTCAAGTTAGTTCCAAAATAGAAAAGTTTATTCTAAGAACAGACATGTAAATAAGGAAATATGTAAATAAGGGCAACAAAATTTCCCATCATTGGCCAGGCCTCGTGGGCAGCTATGGTTGGGGTGGTGGGGGACACCACCAGGTCTCAAGTGAGAACTGGAGATTTAGAAATGCTAATGACAATAGCAAACACATTGAATGCTCACTTCGGCTAGTCACTGCAAAAACTATTTTTTTGTATTAGCTCATTTAATCCTCACAACAACCTTATTATCAATATCCCCATTTATGCGCGAGAGCTGAGACTTGGAGGTTGGCTGACTGGCCCAAGTCAGCGGGCAGCGGCCAGCACAGCTGTGGCCCCCACTGGGCACCACACTGCCGGACGCTGTTCCACCCTTGCTGCTTGACACAGTCGCTGCAGGGAAGAAACATCTGCACAGCATATGTTTCAAGGGACCTGGCGTATATGGCATACTGTTCTTAATATGTTTGCTCCCCCTTTTTAGCGCTATGTGTTATAACTAGAGCCACCTCCCCGAGAAAGGTTGTTTCCCCAGGTGGGAATGTTTCCCTGGAGTTAGGGATTAACGGGTCTAGGGAAGGGAATAAATCAGTAAAACCCCTTAACAAAGTGCCAGGCGGGTAATCACCTTAACTACGAACAATCACGCTTAAGCTACATAATCTTTACTTAGGCCATAGAATAGGAAAATCTCCTTCAGTTATTTCCTTGTAGCTTAACAGTAGAACAATAGGATAATGACCTTGGAATAGAGACAACAAACTAGCCCTTATAATGGAAGACAGAGACTAACCTAGACAAGATTAAAATCAAAAGAGCTAGATAGAGATAAGATTTTTATCAAAGGTCAGGTAAGAAACTATAAACAAAACAAGGAACTGTAGAAGGTCAAAGGAGGACCCAAAACATATGATGATGTAACTATAGAGGCATGCTTATAGGATCAAATGGTATAAGTACAGATGTAACAGGGCAATAAATGGGAGAACCCAACTATGCTGATGATCTGAACGCTGTCTCTGTGTCCTTCATTCTTCGCCGACTCCGTCCACACCTTTGGGAACCCCTGGACCACTGGGGCTGGACCCCAGCACTGCACCTTGGAATTCGGATGGTGTGGCCCCAAACCTGTGCTCATGACCATTATGCAGCACTGGCTCTGTGTGTCCAGGAACTGGGAGGACAGGAAGGCCCAAGGAAATGCAGAGGCAGGCTGTCCTGTGGCCACTCGCAGGTGGGCCACAGCCCCTGGCTCAGCACTCCGCCATGCAGCTAGCTCACCCACCAGCTGCTCTGCCCACCCACAGGGCCACTTTGAATTTCCAAGAGAAGCTGCTGTTCCATGAATATCACTGTCCCTCTTTGGTAAGACCTTTCTCAGCAGGTCACCTCATTGGCTGACTGATCAACCACCTGCTGGCCAGGTTCCCGCCCGGCCCAGGCAGGCAGTCGCATCAGCAGAGGACAGAGGGGCTGCGGCACCAACAGGGTCTGACTGGCGAAGAGAGGCCCTTGGAGCTTGCCGGCCTCCTTCCATACCTGGTAGGACAGTTCTGGTCGAACTCTCTGCATGTTCACCCCATGTAGGATGCAGGAACTATGACAGGATGGGGGAAAAGGTGAAGGGATTTAGAAGTACAAGTTAGTAGTTATAGTGTAGTCATGGGGGTGTAAAGTATGGCATAGGGAATTTAGTCAATAATCCTATATAATAAAGCGGTAATATGCAAATTGACCATCACTCCAACACACAAGATGGCTGCCCTCATGTGGTCAAAGATGGCCAGCAGGGGAGTGCAATTAAAGGCAACCAGGCCTGCAAGGGAGCGCAGTTGGGGGGGACCAGGCCTGCAGGGGAGGGCAGTTAGGGGCAATTGGGCCGGTAGGGGAGCAGTTAGGCATCGATCAGGCTGGCAGGGGAGTGGTTAGGGGTTGATCAGGCTGGCAGGCAGAAGCAGTTAGGGGCAATCAGGCAGGCAGACAGGCGAGAAGTTGGGAGCCAGCAGTCCTGGATTGTGAGAGGGATGTCCGACTGCCCATTTAGGCCCGATTCCGGTGGGATCGGGGGATCGGGCCTAAACAGGCAGTTGGACATCCCTCAAGGGGTCCCAGATTGGAGAGGGTGCAGGCTGGGCTGAGGAACACACTGCCCCTGCATGAATTTTGTGCACCAGGCCTCTAGTCTTTAATAATTTAAAATTTAAAAGAATCTTAGGAATCAGCTAGTCTTTGTCCAGTTACATCCTTTTATATCACACTAGGTGGGTATGAGATTTTTTTAGGGTGATCACTTAGTAATTTTCTAATGTCTAATCACTGGGGTGTACACCTGAAACTAATATAATATTGTATGTCAACTGTAATTGAAAAAATTTTTTAAATGACTAAAAATTTAAAAAAATGGTTTAACATACAGATAGCAACAGACAGAAGAATAGAGCAGGATGGGAAATAAAAAATATGCAAGTATATATGCATATATGGCATATTATAAAGTTGGCATTCAGATCACTGGGGAAACTATAAATTATTTTGTGCTGGGCTGCATATCTGGTGCTTCTGCCAGGTGGGCACGCTGTGCTCTCTGTTCGTAAAACACATAGATAGGAATGTGCTGGCACTTCGGCCAGGCGGGGCATGCTGTGATCTCTGTTCCTAAAACACATAGATAGGAAGGTGGTCACTGTACTGATGCTGTACTGTGTCGGGAACAAATTGTGTAAACAAGGCTTTGTAACTAACTTTGTAGTTTTTGCAAATAAAAACGCTGTAACTCCTGTAGTTGGCACTGCAGTTCAGCCTTTGCTTCGGCAGGGTGCTGTAACTGTAGTCACTGGCCAGCTTAATAAAGTCTCCTAAATCTTGATCTGAGTCCCTGGTGGTTGTCTCCGCAGGTTGCCCCATTACAATTTAATCAACAATTACAGGAAAATTGATGGTAACTTGGAAGTTACCTTACTCTTTCACCAAAATATAACTGGAATATTCTAAGTCAGTGGTTCTCAACCTATGGGTCGCGACCCCTTTGGGGGTCGAACGACCCTTTCACAGGGGTCTCCTAAGACCACCAGAAAACACATATATAATTACATATCGTTTTTGTGATTAATCACTATGCTTTAATTATGTTCAATTTGTAACAATGAAAACACATCCTGTATATCAGATATTTACATTACAATTCATAACAGTAGCAAAATTACAGTTATGAAGTAGCAACAAAAATAATTTTATGGTTGGGGGTCACCACAACATGAGGAACTGTATTAAAGGGTCGCAGCATTAGGAAGGTTGAGAACCACTGTTCTAAGTCCTCCAAAATATATGTTGAAGGATATTCATTGCAACATTCTATGTGATCTCCAAACAAAGCAATCACTGGAAGTAACACAGAGTCTGCCAATTTATGATACATTCACAGAATTGAGTGCCATGCAGTTGTTGAAAAGAATTTATAAGCCCGGCCAGTGTGGCTCAGTTGGTTGCGCATCATCCCATGCACCAGGAGGTCGCTGGCTCCCCAGGTTGTAGGCTTGAGCCCCAGCAGAGGGCGGGCAGGAGCAGTAGATCAATGTTTGATGTTTCTCTCTCATCGATGTTTAGCTCTCTCTCACCTTCCGCCCTCTGAAATCAATAAAAACACATTTTTAAAAATTGGTCTGAGGTTCTTGTTCAGACTTCACTCCATCTTCTCCTCCCTGGGCCCCACTTGGCAACTACCTGCTGTGGGGTTGCTACTGAAAACTTACTCTCCCTGAAGTTCCTGGGCCTTCCTTCTTCTCCAATGAGATGTCCCCTCTAGTCGCAGGATCCTGGGGGTAGGCGTCGTCTTCACCCCAGTGTACTGGCTCCTGAGCATGGCTTCCCCAGCGCCGCACACCAGACCTGGCTGTGGAACCCTGTGCCCACGTCCTCCTTGCTGCCCTCCTTGCTGCCCTCCTTGCTGCCCTCCCCACCCCACGTCCACGCCATCCTCGATGACCGTCCAACCCAGAGGCTCTTCTGCCCCTTGACTGGCTCAATCCATTCACCTTTACTTTTGCCGCCGCCCTAGTGAGTTCAGATTTTACCACCTGAACCACAGGCCCGGGCACTGGGCTTGCCTTACAGCTCTCTCCCTATGCTGCACCCACATCTGTCCTTCAATCTCTAGTCCTTCGCCCTCCACATGTCACCCATCCTGGGAGACTATGAGAAACAAAAATGCAGAGCAAGGAAGTAACCCCCCGGGGCCACAGCCGGACTCAGATCTGCTGTGCGCCATCTTGGCCGCAGGCCTTGTCGCCACGTGTTCTTAGAAAGAGTTCAGTAAAGGCTTGACAAATGGACGGTACGTGGGCCAGTAACTGGCTTCCGGACAGACAGATGAAGAAACCACACTTTGTACCACTTTAAAGTACTGACCACATGGTAACATATTACAGTTATTTAGGCTTATTGAGCAACTGGGCAGCAGGGACCCACTGTATTTTATTGAACATTATCTTAGGAACGACTTAAGCATTGTCCTGGCCGGCGACTCAGCGGGTTGGAGCATCATCCCGTGCACCCAAAGGCTCGATTTCCTGTCAGGGTGCAGGTTTGATCCATGGTTGAGGCACTTATGGAGGCAACCAATTGATGTTACTCTCTCACATCTATGTTTCTCCCTCACTCTCTCTCTCTCCCTTCCTTTCTCTTTCTAAAATATCAATTAATAAAACCATATAGAAGTCATAAAAGGAAAGCCAGATAAAGTCAACCACATTTAAAAAGATTTGCATGGGCCTGGTGGGTGTGGCTCATGGCTGAACATTGACCCAGGAACCAAGAGGTCACAGTTCGATTCCAGGTCAGGGCACAGGCTCGGGTTGCAGGCTCGATCCCCAGTAAGGGTCGTGCAGGAGGCAGCTGAGGCAGCAATTGATGTTTTGATGTTTCTTTCTCATCGATGTTTCTATCTCTCTATCCCTCTCCCCTCCTCTCTCTCTAAAATCAATAAAAACATATATATGTATGTGTGCGTGTGTGTGTGTGTGTGTGTA